TAATAATGACTTAAGAAAACATTTGGTTGATAATCATAATTTCGAGAATGTTGTGGAAGAATTATATTTTTTTTTTTAGATTTCACTCAATGGCTTTTGGAAGTACAAACTCTGAATAAAGTTCAGTATGTCAAATCTACTGGGAAAAGATCTGTAAACAAATTTGAAAAACAATATTATGAGTGTAGGCGTTCGCATAGAAAGAGAGAAGAAAAGCATGATTTAAAAATGAAGCGAAAAAGAAAATTGAAATCACAGGGATCTTGTAAATTGGAAAAATCATGTGTAAGCCAAATTATTTTAAAAAGAAATGAGGAATCGGATGAGTGTTTTATTACATATTACAAGTCACATTATTTACATCGTGAAGATATAAAAAATTTACAGATTACAAAGGGAGATAAGGATATAATTGCTTCTAAACTTATTTTAGGAGTTCCTGCGAAAGTGTAAGTAACATTGATAAATAAATGTACCATCTACAGTCTTTTTTATTGTCAAGGAATCATCAACAAAATAATATGTATCCAGGTATATTTGCTTTGCTTAGTATTTTTATTTGTATTCTACATTTAATGTTTTTTTGTATAAATTAAAATATTTTTTAGGATATTATCTTCTACCCGAGATATGATACATGAAGATCTTAAAAGAGTTGATCTTCTTACGAATAAGGACAAGGACATTAACAATATTAAGATGTCTTATAAAGTTAGCGTGAAAGACGGCTACTTGCATCATGATGATGCAACCAGTGTGGATATTTGGGTTGCAGAATGCAAAAAAAAATGAAAATAATCCAGTTATATTTTATAAGCCTCAAGGACAAGAAAGTATAGGTTTTGAAAATGATGATTTTTGTTTAATAATTATGAACGATGTTCAGAGAAAAACTTTATTGGGTTTTGGAAATAATTTAGTAACAATAGATGGTACTCATGGCTTAAATAGTTATGATTTTGAACTCACGACTTTGCTTGTCTTTGATGAGAATAAAAGAGGTTTTGCTGTAGCCTTTATGTTTTCAAATAAAAAAAACAGCTATTTATGTCAAATTTTTTCCGGGAATAAAAAAAATAACAGGTAAAATTACTTCTAAGGTTTTCATGTCAGATATAACTGAGACTTATTTTAATGCCTGGTGCTTTCTTATGGCATCCGTAGAAAAAAGACTGTTGTGCTCATGGCACGTAGACAGAGCATGGTAGTGAAATTTATTAAAAATAATTAATAAAGAGAAAAGGTCTTGGGTCTACAAAACCCTGAAATATTTTCAAAATTTACTAAACGTAGATATTTTTAATCTAAAATTCAATGAATTTGTTTAAACTCTTTTACAAGATACTGATACAAAAGTTTTTGGAAAACATATCCAAACACATTACTTACCCATTACTAAGCAATGGGCATATTACCACCGAATTGGTTGTGTAAATACAAATATGCACTTGGAAAGTTTTCATAAAACAATTAAATATCATTATTTAGAAGGAAAAAAAAATAAAAAGATTAGACAAAACTATTAACCAATTAATGCTCTTTATACGTGATAAAACTGTTGAGAGAATAATTTATTTAAAGAAAGGTAAAAATGTATCTAAACAGAGAAAAGTAACAATATACCAGAAATAGAAACAGACACTTCAGAATTATCATTACAATTGGGTACCACTAACAATAGCAGTCATAATATTAAAGAAAAAATTAATAACAACTGACTACAAATCATGGAAAGAATTGAAAAGGACAAGTTAAGCCAAGAACAACGAGTTAATGTTGAAACACTCTAATACAGTGATTGCTTTAGCCTCTGTAAAACCAATCAATATTTTTGAAACAAGCAAGGATAGTTTAATTAAATGAACCTGCTAAGAAAAAATTATTAAACAAAAATCATTCTGTTCAACAAAAAAAAAAGAAGTGTCTTAAAAAGAATTTCTACTCAAAGGCTTCTACAAGCAAAAATGTTATTATAAATGAATTTGTACATAATGAATTAATTATTTCAAAGGATTGTAAATATGATCATGAATATATTTAATTTTATAATCCAGTGTACCATTCAATTACTATAACTTAACCTAATCTCAAATGAAATATAAAATGTTTATTATGATATATTTTATATAAAACTTGCTATTTTTTAACGGATAATAAAACAAAAGTTTACCTTTTAAAATTTCAAATAAGACCGCCTTTCAAAATTCATACGCATGCGCAATGAATGGAATATTGTACGCCAGGATCCGTATTCTGCAACTCGTGAGAGTGCTCGTGCACGACAACTCATCGATGTGAATACTCTCTCGGTCATCGCTCACATGGTGCTAAAAAACCCTATTCACTATGATTCAGCGAGTCTACTACATTTTACCCAGCGTTGCCAAAGCGAACGAGTAACTTTGACCTATTATTTAGTTCAAATGTACCTACTGTAGGCCTAGCCACAACCATTTTCACGATAAAACGAAATGAAGAAGCAAAGTTTTTGCTGTTAGGTTAGTTGTATCTGATTGTATCACTTGTTTTGTCAATTCTCGTTCTCGTTATTTATAAACTATTATATTATTATACTTTTAACTTTTAGTTATATTAAGCGTCTATATTCTTTGGTTATATATTAGTTATATATTTTTAGTTATATTTTATACTTTTAAGAACTTTTAGTTATATTATATTAGTTATATTTGTTCTTTGGCGAACTTGTAAAAATGGCGTTAGTTCATCGCAAAGATATATAAAGCTGTCTTTATTGAGACGGAAGGTTTAATAAAATTCACCTCAGCCTCAGATAACATTAAAAAAGGGTCTTCCCGTTGGAAATAGAGACGTGGTATATTATTTTCAGCTTGTTCTTCCGCCTCTTCAACATCGGCGATTAACATTAACATTATTATATTGTTATCATCCATTATGAAAACAATATATAAAAACCAAATACAAATAGGAGTCAACAACCTTTTTAAAATTTCAATAACCTTTCATATAAACTGTACCTATTGTATACAATCAGAGATATGATACAATATACAATATTCTTCGTTTTATTGGCCTTCTGTCACTTATAATTTCTACGGCGCATGTCCACTCTCTTAAAATTTCGCAATTCTCTTAGTTTTACCCAGTAGAGTAGGAGAGTACTCGCATAGGAGTATATGAGCGTTCTCTTACATTTTCGTGAATACGGATTTTACAATTTCAGGTGAGTGACTTGCGCATTAAAGCAAAATTGTGAGAGAGAACCCCTACACGACCACTCACTTAAGTTAGTGGATAGGGCTCCAGTTAGGCGCTCCTCTGAAAAACTTCAAAGGCGGCATCTGAGAGTGGCCCTTCTGATTGTTTATTATTCTGTGGTGGTAGTGTGCTATGATAACTTTGGGTAAACAAATCATTTTGTCATTTGATCTCTAAGCTATAAAACGTTTAATATAAATCATTTAACACGTGTGTTTTGCCAAAGTAAAAGTTGAAGTACGTTCTTCAAAGTTTATTTGTTTGAGATTCGAGTTTATACATAAGGTATTTGACTCCCAAACCTGAATAAAAATAAAATTAAATGTTTGTTTTTCTACAGTATGTCTGAAACACGGGAAGTAAAATTTACATTATCTTAATTATTTATATGGCTACAAGATCGGCAGAGATCTTTAGTTGAGGCTGAGGCAGTTTTTGGAGCTGGCCACGTTATATTTTTCTAAATTACGTTTTCTTCTAATAACTTCATGACACCGTTGAAGCAATTTAGCTGATGGAACAACATTTTTCTTTAGTTTTCTCAATTTAGTTTCAGGTGTTACTATAAAGTAAATTAGGTATAAATATATTAAAATATAAATAATATTTTAATCAACAGTTGGAAAGTATTCATTGTCAGTAAAATATAAACTGCACAGTCATGTATATACGGTTATAGGTTTGCCAATTCGCAAAATGCATTGATAAACTTTTCTCGTATACTCGTTCAGCGGAAACTTGTGTATGGAATTTTTTTGTGAATTATAATAGGATGAACATTGGGGAACACTGCAATAGTTTTTTGAAGTCGAAGTCATTGTTAATTACAAATTACAATATAAACTGGTCGCTAATATGTATATGTTACGAGCAATGTCCGAAATTGGACAATCCTAGCATTGTACGGAAAATCTTGTCCACTTCTAGCATTGTACCCCCTTACTGTACAATCTCCGAAATAGACATAATCGTCGGACTTTGTATAAACGAATTGCTGTACAATGTTCGAATTTCAATAAGTCGATAAGTAGCAATGCGTCAAAGTTTCGAAGAATATGACAGATATCGATTATTTTTATGATTATTCCCCATTTGATATTGGGGATATAAATCCTAAATTAATCTATTAGTTAGTTGCTGGAACTTGAAATATATTAATTAAAATTTAATTAAACATCATTTATAAACTTAAAAATAATGTTTAATAAAATTAATTAATATTATATCGTATGCTCTTTCGCGATTTATTAAAACGACATGACAACACTGCCAAATACAAAACTTTCCTTCATTTCTTTAACGGAACTTTTTATATACCTACTTTTATCTATCACTCTATTGCAGAACAATTTCTTCGTAGTATTTATATTTTAGTTTGAGACAGCATTTTATAACGATGTCTATTCGAAAAAGTACAACTTTGTATGTAAATAGAAAATAAAAAATATCAAATAATTACCAAGAAATGTTCAATTTTTGATTTGACGTGTCGCTTGTCAATAATAATCGATTCGAATCGATAAGCGTCTCGATAATCATTTTTAAATTTGATCATTTCGGACATTGTACAGTTTGGGGGTACAATGCTAGAAGTGGACAATAATTTCCGTACAATGTTAGGATTGCCCAATTTCGGGCTTTGCTCGTAACATATACAAAATAATGACAATTTCAAGGTTTTCCCAAAGTGGATGCTTTTGAAATCTACCACCAGGCGTCGCCCTATAAAGGAAGAAGAAGAAGAAGAAAATATATTTGGTTAGGTTAGAGTGTACTAAATTGCGTACCAAATATTTTAGTGTGTAAATAGTAAAGTGGTTAAATTTTTGGACTTCTTCAATATTGGTGCAATGAACATAACCTCCTTGATATGTTTGACATTAAATGTAAGCTTAATATACGTCAGTGTTGCCATATACTCAAATATTTCCCACTCTCACATATAAAGTTAGGCAAGATTTATATTATATGAAATGAAAATGTAAAATTGAAAAATACATATATAATTAAACAAAAATGTGAAATATATATATATATATATATATATATATATATATATATATAATATATATATATATTATATCATCATCATCATCATCATCATCATCATTATCAGCGTATTGTACCAATTATGGTGCAGCCTCCCTTACATAGTCGTTCTTCATGTCTGCCCACGACTGTCTAATATTCGCTTTTCTGTGCCATGTTGTACCGGCTTGTTTCCTTATGTCATATATATATATATATATATAATATATATATATATATATATATATATATATATATAATATATATATATATATATATATATATATATAATATATATATATATATATATATATATATATATATATTATATATATATATATATATATATATATATATAATATATATATATATATATATATATATATATATATATATATATATATATATATATATATATATATATAATTAAAAGCATTAAAGTTATACCTATAAATATTATAAAATAAAATTATATGTTACATTTAAAATACTTATACCTATAAATACTTACATTTAAAATAGTAGTAAAATAGAACTTAGTTTCCTAGTGGATTTTAAAAATTAATAGTTTAGAAACTTTAAAAACTACAGACTAAAGTAAAGTTAAATGGAAATAAAAAAAAGTTCAAGAAAAGAACCTAAAGAAGAAAGATACCTAAATACAAATGTGAAGCATTTTACTTCTGTATAAGTTTTTTAAAGCATATATAATTTCGTCAAAGTATCTTTCTATTTTATACACTCCTATACTTTATACAAAAAAAGTGGCAACACTGTGTCACACAAACATATAGCTGGATGCCAGGTTATGTTCATTGCACCAATATTGAAGAAGTCCAAATTTTTAAGTGTCCAAATAAAAAAGTCAAAAGTTCATTAGTCAATAACAACAGTAAGTTTAATGAAATTTACTTTCTGATATAACATACATACTGTTTGTTTCAGTTTAGGGTATATTACTTATTTATTTAATTAATACAGGAGATAGCCCCATTAACAATTTAAATATCAATTTAACCCAATATACAATATCACAGTTAGGATTCAAAACTTGAAACTACTGAAATTACAACAAATTAAAAAAATCTTAAATACTAAAAAACAAACAATGTATAATAAGTTAAAAATTCAACAATACCAATATACATATCACAAAGCAAGAGATATTTTTAACCTAGTTAAAGTTGTATTGAAAATATCAAAATCGAGATTGTTTATTAGCCCAATGTATCTACCCAATGGGTTGTGAATACATACTATAAGTTGTTATGTGGAAAGGAATATTGAAAACAATCAATAAATTCATGTTATGATCATATATAAATATAGCTCCTGCCATAACATCCAGATGTTGTTACATTCAGCTCTTAGAGGGGAAAATCGAATATAGTCATCATCAGAACAATTATTAACATAAATATATTGAGCATGTTTTTGAAGTTATACTTCTATATGCACGTTTGACGTTGGAAATTTGTATCGGAGTGAATCGCCAAAATCATTACATATGTAAGATATAGCTAAGAGAGAGACAGAAGAAATACTTTCTCTCTAGAGAATAAAAATATTCCTTTTGTAAATATATTTAATATTTATTAATATTATTATTATTTTATATTAATTCAGTAGATATATACATTTCTATGATTCTACAACTTCTATGATTCGTAATAACCATTCCATTTTTGGAATACGATAAATAAATAAACACAAACACAAAATACAACCAAAAAATTGATATCTTAAATAATGTTCTTGTCAAATAATGACATTGATTAGCCACCTTATTATTTAAGGTTAGTGGTTGAATGAGTTGAAGCGCAGTATTTAGAACCAGAAGTCACAAGTTCGATTCCAATGAGGAAATAATTTTTTTTAATTATTATGTTCTGATTTTTGTCACTTTGGTTTTAAAAATCAAAGAATGGAGAAATCATAATATCTTTTTTAATATTGTTTAGCTAATTTTATACATTATTTAATTTTCCAAACTATTTTATTTATCATTGAATATTTAGTATGAGTAGTCATGGGCGTAGAGATGAAAGGGACAAATATAATGATTGTTATTTTAAATTTGTTTTATGTATGTACAGTTGCGGTCACGGAATAGTTTACAGGTTCACGTATCTAGGAGCCCATTTTTTAAATTTTTACTTCGTTTAAACGTACCTTTTACGTCAAAGTGACGTTGCCAGTGGTGTACTAGCTAGAATAGGTAGATTAAAATTAAAATATCAAAATATTTTACAAAATGAAAAATATAGAAAACAGTTTTTTGAATAAAATGGATTATGATCTTAATAACGAAAATAAAGAAGTCTTTTTTTTTAATATGCATTTTATTTTAAATCTATTTTATATTAAATAACGATAAACAATGATAAATAATAATTAATATTTGGTGGAAGCGCCATTCTTGTCAATACAATTTTGCAGTCTTCTGTTCATAGATAGCACCAATCCCCTCATGTTATAGTTAACAAGCTCTTCCCATGCCTGCTCAATTGCTTCCCATAATTCAATTCTATTCCGTGGTCTAAGGTTTCTTTCATTTAGTTTCTTTGTTAACTCTGCCCACACATTTTCGACGGGGTTAAAGTCTGCACTACGGGAAGGCCACGGAAGAACATTAACATCAGTTTCTTCTAGCCATTCTCGAACAATTCTACTCGTATGCACCAGGCAATTGTCATGTTGGAAGATAAAGTCGTTGTTGGGGAATCTCTGGATCACCGATGGCAACATTGTGTGCTCAATAATATGTTTGTAATATAATCCTGTTAACTTCTCCTCTACATGATAACAAACGCCCGGGCCTTCGGCACTTATCCATCCCCATACGTTGACAGAGAATCCTCCACTATTTCTTAAATGATGCGTATACTGTTCATCATACCTATGATTTCTCGGCCTATAAACTCTTATTCGACCATTATTATACGACTGAAATCTCATCCTGTTGATCTGTGGAAATCTTCTGCCCTCCTGAACCGCCCAACCGTGCTATAGAGTGAAAATTATCCCATCTTTGTTTAATCTTCCATATGCACATATGACTCACGTTCAAATCAGCAGCAACTTGCCTTAGTGACCAACCTTCTTCGAGTTTGGCAATTGCTCTTGCTTTTTGCGCATAATTCAAATGTATTCTAACCATTTTGGAAGAGTTTAATATACTTTTATTTTATTGTTGAACACTCGCGAAAGCATTGACGTTTTGAAATTTTTTGACTTTGACATTTATCAAATCCGTACGACACTGCAATTTTACAGTATTACAATATAAAAAGTAAGGTGTAAACTATTCCGTGACCGCAACTGTACCTATATATTTATATGTATGAAGATAAACCTCAAAAAAGGTCGATTTTATTTTTAAATTATGATTTTTTGGCATATATATGATACTACTGACATCCATCTCAAAATAAAGAGTGTTTCTTTCACAGAGCAGCAATTTAACACTTTGCATACGGAGTGAGACAATATGTGTCTCACACTTGATTTGATCCTTGGACAGCGTGGCACAAATGATGCACCACATGGTATACTTTCATTTAGATGTGGTGTATTACAAAATGGTTCATGCAACTGTGCTATTTAAGCAGGAATGCAAAAAGAGCCGTCCTAGTGAGAAGCTGATATGCGCCGGACATTTGTTTTGATTTTAGAACCTATTTTTGGTAAGGTGAATAAAAAAATGTAAATAGTAAAAATTCTGTTTTAGTGGAAAGCTATAATAAGCATATGAAACATCGGAACATTAGTAAATTATAACAAAACATGTAAAATTACGAAAAAAATATTATGTCTTGTCCATCTTATGTTCCTGAAAAAAAAAAACAAGGAATACAATAATTCTTTTTACACCCATTGCATTGCCAAACTGATCGGGAACAAGTATTCGCTGCAGTGTTCCTGTCATTTAATTATGTTAAGGCTTTATAAAATACAACACAACGGTTTCGTTTATGGTGTACCAAAACGTGTTCTAGTTGTACTATATCATCTGCTTTTTTGTTCTCCATGTGGTCCACACGATGTTTACTGAATAATAACCTTGCAGCTAACGGCCCTCTGTATTCCGTTATTTGAATTGTTTTCTGTGTTACCTCCTTATATATTAGAAAGGAATTTACTAATGCACATCCAAAAATCAGTTCAATTGCTAATTTTCGGTGCCACTTATTACCTCGTCTAAGGCAATGAGAGTAAGACTTAAGTGGATCTGATAAATCAATGTAGCTCTTGCACCTGTTGTAACTAACGACAGCAGTTGGTTTCTCTACTTTACCGCGTGTCTGTTCTTTATTTAAGTGGTGTCTGCTTGATGTTTTGTCGTTACCATAGTCACGTTACATTTGTCTTTCCACTTTAGCATTACTATACCAGTAGAACTTTCTTCAGCAACAATTTCATTTTTTTTTTTTAATTTAGTATTAACTACTTTGGGAGAATTGAGTGACTCAAGGACTGCCACATTTGTCAGCATAGCCGTCCATGGAATTTTTAGTATATGTCTGTGCAGCCACATTTCAAAGGCCTCCAGATGATTAATGGTGGATATTTTTAATGTCCATGCTTCGACACCGTATAAGAGGACTGACCAAATATAGCATTTAACCATGCGCTTTCGAAGTTGAAGTTGCAAGTTATCATTACAAAAGAATGACCTCATTTTTAAAAATGTCGTGCAGGCTATCTCGATTCTACATTTTATCTCTTGATCTGGATCTAGTTGTTCAGTAATATGGCAACCAAGATAATTAAAACTGATATATGACCATCAACATATAATCATGCATCTTGATGTGCTAAACAGCTAAATACTAAACACCTGCCTATACCCACGTATAGTTCATAATGTGTACAGTTTTAGGCCAAATTTGTGCCGTTTGTTCTTTATATATTGCCTAAATTTTAGGCGTCCTCTAAACGTCATAAGTGTCTCATCTATGCATACTTCTTCACATGGCACCATTACTGGACTATTGTCGCTAAAGTGCTACATCTTTAATAGCTCTTCAAAACGATCTCGAGACATTATACTTTTTATCGAATTTGTATACAAAATGTCGTTACTCTAGTATGCTTTTATTCGAGGATATTTGACTAATTCATCCACATAACAATGCCAAAAAATTTTTCCATTTCAGAAGTATTTGTGGGAACCCACTTCTTTTTGTGTTTACTCTTATTTGATGGTGTAGTATAATTTTGTAAAACCTGCTGTGCATATAATTTGGTTTGTTCAACTATATAATTTATTATGTCGTCAGTAAGGAAGATCTTGAAACAATCATATGGTTCTTGATCTATATAATTCTCGTAATACGAATATTTTATTCCGTTGTTTTCTACACTGTAATCGAATGATTTCAGCGATGTTCCATCAACTTCCCTCAACTGAAATTGCTCGCTATGACACACTTCTTCAGTAATTGTGGCCATATCAATTACTTCTTGTATAGTTACATCAATAATATTTGTTTGTTGTTCAACAGTCCTTGTTCCTTGGATTGAAATAGTTTCATATAAACCAGATTCCAAATCCATCTACAAAAAGTTTACCTGTTTATTGTTGACAAAATAAAAATAAAGTTCAATAACTTACGGTTGCAGAAACCACATTAGAAGTACCTTCGCCAGATTTTTCATCATTTTTCTTGACACGCTTTTTGGGAACTGACTCCTCACAACCATCAGAAGAATACTCATTGGAAGATTCAGGTTCATATTCTTCTAACAAATAAACATCGGCAAATTCGCTTTTATTGTCCTCATCAGACATAATCTCATCCCAAATGGCTTGCAGACGGCTCTGTTCTTTTTCATAATCTCCCGTATTGCAATAAATGGCACGATAAAAACACTCCGTCAGCAACAACT